GACATTTGTCTCTCTAGATTTTAGGATTTTTGCATTAATTATTTAAAATAAAAATGTGATATCAATATATTAACTTAAAGTAAACATTTAATTAGCATCAAATTATKTTCATAAATTAATRAAAAATATYTAAAARCATATTCTWATAYARAATTYTTTTTTTTCAATATCTCTTTTCAAATTCTATAAAATTTTCTTAATTATAACTTCCGAAAAACTATCATATTTAAGGAATATATTTTTAACCTTTCTTTTTGTTGTTTTGTCTTTTTGTGTTCAAGTATCAAATTAACTATATAAGTAAAAAACAGTCCAATAAATAAATTTTTAAAACCTAAAGTAACATCTTCAGGGAAAGAAAACCTTATATATGAACGTTTTGTAACGTATGATATTAGATATCAATAATTGATATAAAAATTTTGTCAGTTTAGGCCAAACTTAAATCATCTTGACACACCATTGATAATTTTGTACTATATTTTTTCTCTATACAACTAATATTAGAAAATGCATTTTTTTAAAAAATGTTTTGAACTTCATTTATTGATAAGATAAAAAATTATAATGAAAAAGCTAAAAAAAAAATTATGTCACATACGATCTTGATTTTTATATAGAGTATTTTATGTAAATACTCATAAAGGTATGAATACAAAATAAATTTATATAAAAACTATCAAAAAATTGTAGAAGCTATATAAATTTAGGTAATATAAGAATCAAATTCTGTATACCAAATATYTGATCAATCAATTTRAAAASCATTTAAATTTRACTAATTTTTTARWTGTGTTTATCTATAAATTATTGCATATTTCACTTTATAAGTTTTAATTTCCGGTCATGTGTGGACTCAACATTTTTTTTTTACATTAGTGGACACTGACTATAACGAAAAGATTCCAAAAGAATACGCTGAATTCTAGAGAAAAATTGAAAATAAGTATTCAAAAGAAATTTTTATATATATCATTATATGGTTCACTTTCATATTAAACATTTAAAAATGATGTTTGAATTTGTAGAAATAGAAATTGTGAGTATAAATCTAAAACATCATTTAAGTATATCAATGTTAGTATACTTAGTTTTAAAATTATCTAAATCGTTGTTCCGCGCAACGCGTGGATTTTCACTAGTAGAAGAATATGGAAAAGATTTCAAGAAGGAAAACTATTTTGTATTTATTTTTTTTATTTGAAATAACGTTTGTTTCTCGGGTGATGTTTTTAATCTTTTTTTAATAAACCATAGAAATTCTAAAATTTTGGAACATAATTTCTTTGGTACCCGGAGTCAACCAATTGATATTCCAATTTAAAAATAACCCCGTACCAATAGGAATTTGAATCTAGAACACACAAAAAATCAACTCTCTTGTGTTACCAATAAATCATCGCACCTTTGGACAAGCTAAGGTCTCACAAGGAGATTAGCTAGAGTAACCTACTTTTTTTAAATAGCTATAATGACCTTACTATTTTTTAATTGCTGAAATAACCTACTTTAGATTTTTTTTTTCATAATACCAAAATTGTCCTTCGCAGACTCTGCCAAAATATTGGCAGACTCTACTAAAATATTGGAAGACTCTACCGAGATATTGGTAAACTTTGTCGAGATATTGATAGGCTAGCTGACTGAGATATAAGTCTACTAACATTTTAGAAGACTTTTAAAGCGTCTACTAGAAAAACATAGTCTCTGTCGAAACATTAGTAGACTCTAATGAGGTATCAACAGACATTGACAAAACATTAGCAGACTCTGCCGAAACATTGGTAGACTCTGCCATGTGTTGACAGACTCTGCAGAAACATTGGCAGACTCTGCCGAGATATAGGCACATTATGCCGAAACATTGGCATACTCTGCAAAAGCATTGGTAGACTCTGCCGAGATATTAGTAGAGTCTACCAATATTTAGAAATAGGCAGATTCTGCCGAAACATTGGTAGATTCTGCCGAAACATTGGTAGACTCTGCCGAAACATTGGTAGAATCTGCCAAAACATTGGTAGACTCTGCCGAGATATTAGCAGAGTCTGCCGGTATCTTGAAAAAGGCAGAATCTGCCAAAAAATTAGTAGATTTTGGCGAGATATTGGCATATTCTGCCGAGGCATTGGCAGACTCTGTCGGAGTATTGACAGACTCTGTCGAGACATTGGCAGACTCTGCCCAAAAAAATGTAGATTATATATAAAAGTAATCATAATCTGCAAAAACATTGACAGATTTCTGGAATGTTTTGTATTTTGTTGATAATGGGTTTTAAATTTTTTATCTATTTTCTTATTTGAAAATGTTTTTTCAATTAAATTTATTTTTAATATTAATTAGTTAAAAGGATATTTTTGATATTATCAAAAAGAAAAAACGTGAAATAGGTTATTTGGACAATAAAAAATTAAAGAGGTTGTCTTAGTAATTCTTATAAAAAAGTAAGTTATTTTAGATAAATTTTTCGCAACTCTATTTTAGTTGCAACGATTTTTATGCATTCCTTGACCAAAAAAATAAAAAATATTTATCCATTCAACCAATAGTACTCATATGAAGTTATGTAGCAATATATACTTTTATTTTATGAGGCCACATTTCACGTCACATGGAGATAAGACAATAAAAAGATACGGCCTATCCTCAAAAATTAATTATTCCAACGATAGTGCACCTTCACTGTTCTGTTCTCCAATCATTGTATTATCTAACCCCA